CAAAATGATTATCAATAAGCACTCTTCGGTTGTCTAAGACGGAAGCAACAGAATGAGCAATATAAGCAACAGCGTCAAGTGTGGATAGTTAGGGTTTATAGGCAAGTTGTAAACGATCGTGGGAGTTACAAAAGGGTATTATGTGGTGCTGCAAAATATTTTCAAAAGCTTTCAGCAACACAAATATGCAGACCATCGGACGGTACTTTGATGATCCTTTCTTTGGGATTGGTGTAATCCGGGCTGACCTCCAACCATCGGGAATTTTTCCGGATGACAAACAAGTACTGAACAATTCAGCAATAGATGTTGCAAACTGATCGGCGCATGCTTTTAACAAATCAGGTGCTAATCGATCGGGTCCATGAGCTTTGTTGGCCTTGAGTCCCCTCTAGACTTGGAGAAACAGAGTTTATTGCTTCACGGTTTGGAAATGAAAATCGGAGGAAGTTTGAGACAGTCACAGATGCGAGTTGATGGTTAAGTTCTTCAACGTTGGGGCAAGAACTGGTGCGTGAGTCATGCAGTTTTCATCAAAATAGTCCACCTCTCACGACAGCTTTTATTACCCAAAACCGTATGGAGCTTGACGACAGCGAAGCTGTCTGCTTTTGTGGAACACGCCCATATGTCAACAAACAGATTTTCCTTAACCTTTCGCAATCGATTTTTGGTTTCCATTTTGCCGTCTTCACTCAATTTTTATACCTCTCTCTGCCGATGGAATTCTCTACGCGGCCCGGCAAACATTGCAATACATGTTTACCATTTCTCTTCTTCAAAATAGCTCCAAATCAAATTACACGATTCTTGGACTCCAACGGTGGTCCCGGCATTCAACACATCGGTCTCAGTGTGAGCAACATCTTTGATGCGGTTCGTGTTGGCCGTGCCGGTGGAGCGCAGTTTCTCGATCCACCAAAGACTTATTATGATGAAGTAGGTTTCTGTTCATCTGATGAATGTATTGTTTTTCCAAAAAGAGAACTACCTGGACATGGAATAAGCCAGTTTTTTTCTTTATTTGTTCTTTTCCCCAAAATTGCTCTCACTTTTTTTCATATTGACGCCATACAACATGGAATGAATGAATCCGATTGTATCGTTTC